CACCAAAGACGCATCAATGATGTTGCAATGCCCCCGTCCTCCAAGTTCCCTCTCTATAGTTCCCTACAAGAAGTCGTTATCATTTCGGGAATTGCCTTACCGAGGACGCCTACTGCGAATCACCGCCGCTCCCTGCCTTTTGGCATCCCGCGTGTGGCCGAGCGTTGTGGCACGAGCTCTGCCAAGATATCGGACCATGTGTTCCCCTAGCCGTTGTGGAAACCCTTCGGGAATGGCCAGGAAGATTAAACAGGAGGAGACAGAGGGGGCAGCTTGGGAGCCTCTGGGTGCACTCTTGGGGCCTCCTGGGAACTTCCTGGGAGCCTCTTGGAGGAACCTGTGGGACCTCCTTGGGCCTCTTGGGGGCCTTCGGGGGCTTCTCGTGGGCCTCCTTGGCCGTCTTAGGGCATTCCTGGCGCCGTCGAATGCCGTCTTGGGAGCCTCTTTGGGCCGACTTGGGGCCCTCTTGTGGTGCTCCAGGGCCGTCTTGGAGGTCATCTTGGGCGTTTTGGGAGCCTCTGGGGCCGTCTTGGGGGCTCCTTGGGGCAGTCTGGGGGGCCTCTTGGGCCGTTCTGGGGCCATCGTGGAGGCCTTCTGGACGACCGTGGGGCGATCTGTGAGGGCCCTTGGGCCGTACTGGGCCTTCGGAAGGCCGAACAGGAGCAACTGCCCAAGTCTCTTTTAATCACCTAAGGCACATCAATGAGATTGGCCTCTTCAAGCCCTCCCGGAGGCCCTCTTGAGGGCCTCTCGGGCCGTCTTCGAGACCTCTTCAGGGCCGTCTGGGGCCGTTTCGGTGGCATCTTGGGCTGGCTTGATGGCCTCCTAGCCCGTCTGACGCCGTCGGAAGCCGTCTTGAGAGCCTCTCTGGGTCGACTTAGGGCCCGCTTCGGGTGTTCCAGGGCTGTCTTGGAGGCCATTTTTGGCGTCTTGCAGGCCTCTGGGGCCGTCTTGGGGCCACTTGGAGCCACCTGGTGAGCCTCTTGGGCCGTTCTGGGGCCATCTTGGAGGCCTCTTGGGCGACCTTTGGGGCGACCGGGCGACCGTGGGGGGCTCTTGCGCCGTCTCGGGCCGTGGGAAGGCCGAACAGGAGCACATGCCAAAATCATTCAACCACCTAGGGCACATCAATAACATTGACCTCTTCAAGCCTGCCTCTTGGGCCGTATTGGAGACCGCTTTAGGGCCTCTTGGGCCGTCTGGGGCCGTCTTGGGGCCATCGTGGGCTGTCTTGATTGCCTCCTGAGCGATCTGTGAGCGCCCTTGGGCCGTATGAGGCCGCCGAAACGAAGCAAATGCCAGCATCCTGCAATCACCTACGGGAGATCAATGAATTCGGCCCCTTCGGCCTCTAGGAGGACTCTTGGGCCGTCTAGGAGGCTTCTGGGGGGCCTCTTGTGCTGTCGTCGGTCATCGTGTGGCCATCTTGGGCCCTCTTGGAGGCTTCTTGACTCGGAGACATCTTGGACCCTCCTGGAGGCCGGCATGGGCAATCTTGGAAGAACTTGGAGGCCATCTTGGCCGTCTTGGAGGCCATCGAGGTCGTGTTGGGCACGTTAGAGGCGCAGCGGGCAAGTCATTCCGGGTAGCGGGGCCCCAGGCTTTTTGTTGGGGGTAAAAAAGAATTGATATAAGAAAAACAAAACAATCAAAAGGTCCAACACAACATCAGTTGTGTTCCATCAGTTGTGTTCAGCACGCCAGGCACCCCTGTGGCAAGATCACACGAGGCGGCTGATCGAATGGCTCTCGTCCCATCCCGCCACCGTGCTCGGGCCGTGGGCATGGAGCCTCTACTACTGGATGTTCTTTGGGACCTCGTGGGATTACCAGCCTGGAACATATCCCTATCCCTATGCTGGGCATTTCCTCATCACGATGCCAACCTCAGGGATTCCCTTGTTTTTTGAGGGTGCATCCCTAAGATTGTCATCGCCTTTTGGCGTGTCAATCTTAGGGATAGGGATATGTTCGAGGCTGGTAGGTGGGTATGGAGCCTCTACTGGATCTTCTTTGGGACCTCGTGGGGGGCGGCCTCTTCGAGGGGCCGCTCGGGAGGCAGTTTGGAGGCCTCTGGAGGGCTGCCGTCAGGCCTCCCTTGGGCATCGTTGGGGGCCTCTCGGGGCCTCTGGGTGACTCTTTTGGGCCTCCTGGAGGGCTCTCGGGGTCGTCTCTCGGGGCGCTCTTCGGGGGGCCCTTTTGGGGGCTGGCTTGGGGCCCTCCTGGGCCGTCCTGGGCGCCTCTTTGGCCGTCTTGGGGCGCTCTGAGGCCCTGTGGGAGGCCGTCAAACAGCCAAGGCACAGCAGTGATTTTGGCCTCCTGGGGCTCTTGGGAGGCCTCTTGGGGCATCTTCGGGGCCTCTTGAGCCCGTTTTGGGCGTCTTGGAGCGACGGTTGGGCGTCGCGGGGCCCTCGTGGGCCGTCTTGGCGGCCTCCTATACCCCCCCTGACCCGTCTTGGTGCCCTCTTTAGGCTCCAGCGGCCGCAGCCATTCTGGCTCAAGCTGTGCATAGGCTCAAACGTTAAGCTCACGAGTGCTGCCCCTCTTACCAATTTGAAACAGATCCCTATCCCTATGTTTGGCATCACCTCACCTCGATGCCGATCCTAAGGATTCCCTCAGTTTCTGAGGGTCTATCCCTAAGATTGTCCTCGCTTTTTGCTCGCCCATCTTAGGGATAGGGATAAGTTCGAGGCTGGTTACCCTCACCCAAAAGAGCATCCCCTGCCTCCAATCATGACCGATGACGCTCATCCCGCCAGCAAGAAGGCCAGGATCACTTTACCCCTGCGCTCACAGCTCTTCATCAACAACGAGTGGGTCGACGCGAAATCGGGTAAAACGTTCGACACCGTCAACCCCGTGGACGAGACGACGATTCTCTCGGTGCAGGAGGCCGGGAAGGAGGACGTAGACATGGCAGTGTCAGCTGCGAAGGCGGCATTCCAGTCGTGGAAGAACACCGACGCTGGCAAGCGCCGCGACCTGCTGCTCAGGTTGGCCGACTTGGTGAAGGAGCACCAGAAGAGGCTGGCCGAGGTGGAGTCCATGGACAACGGAAAACCGACACACGTGGCTCACGATGTCGACCTCGGATTCGTGATCGAGTGCTTCAAGTACTATGCCGGGTGGGCCGACAAGGTCGGAGGCAAGGTCATCTCCACCACGTCTGGCACCAGCAGCAAGTTCTGCTTCACGTTCCACGAGCCCATCGGCGTCGTCGGCGCGATCATCCCCTGGAACTTCCCGCTGCTCATGCTGGCCTGGAAGCTCGGCCCGGCGCTTGCCATGGGCTGCACGGTGGTGATGAAATTGAGCGAGAAGACTCCGCTGTCGGGCCTGCTGATGTGCGACCTGATCAAGGAGGCCGGCTTCCCCCCCGGCGTCGTCAACGTCGTCAACGGCCACGGCCCCACGACTGGAGATTTCATCGCGAGGCACCCCGACATCCGCAAGGTGGCGTTCACCGGGAGTTCCGCCGCGGGCCACAGGATCGTGGAGGCGGCCGGCCAGACCAATTTGAAGAAGGTGACGCTGGAGCTTGGCGGTAAGAGCCCCATGATCATATGCAAGGATGCGGATTTGGACCAGGCCGCCACAGCTTGCCACATCGGCCTGTTCGTCAACATGGGCCAGTGCTGCTGCGCCTCTAGCAGGATCTTCGTTCACGAAGACATCCACGACAGCTTCGTCGCCAAGGTCGTGGCGATGGCCAAGCGCTTGCGCACGCAGGGCGACGTGACATCGGAGACCGACGTGCCCATCTGCGACTTGGGCCCCCAGGTGGACAAAATTCAGTTCGACAAGGTGCTCGGGTACATCGAGGCCGGCAAGGCCGAGGGCGCCAAGGTGGCGGTCGGAGGGGGCAGGCTTGGCACGAAGGGGTACTTCGTGCAACCCACGGTCTTCACCGACGTGCAGGACACGATGAAAATCGCCAGAGAGGAGATCTTCGGGCCGGTGATGCAGCTCCTAAAGTTCAAGACCCTGGAGGATCACCCCGTGCGTTCCACTACTCGCACAGTGCCTTCTCGCAAACGCCCAAACGCCCGAACACATGCTTGTCTCGACCGTGATGGATCGTGAATCCCTCGCGGCGGATCCAGGCTATTTGCGCGTATTTTTGCTCTCAGAGCCTCGACGTCGTGTTTTTCACAACGCCGACCCCCAGAGGTCTGGACCCTCTCCCCGGGATCGGCTTTTCATCCTGAGTTTTTCGTTTTGACAGTCCTGAGGCCCGGGAAGGGCCCCCAGCGGCCGAAAATAGCGAGAATATTTCCAGCGGGGAAGGAGGAGGGTCGGGTATAGCCAGGACCCCAGGTAAGGGGACCCCGTTAGTGGTAGGACCCCGGAGCCCCTAAATTGGCCAGCATCACTAAACCAGATCTGCCGAAGCTGGTGTTTTTCGGGTGACGGCAGTTCCAGTTAGTGGAATGGGGCGGGGGGGTGCGTCCCCCAGTACACATCACTAAACCAGGTCACACTAAACCCAGTTCTGCCAACGCCCGAGAGAAGGAGGAGGAGGAATAACAGGAGGAGGAGGAGGACGAGGAGGACGAGGAGGGAAGGAGGAGGGAAGAGGGAGGAGGGAGGGAGGAGGGAGGAGGAGGAGGAGGAGAAGGAAGGAGCAGGAGGAGGAGGGATGGAGGAGGAGATGAGAGGAGGAGATGAGGAGGGAGAGGAGGAGGAGGAGGAGGAGGAGGAGTAGTGGTTGAGGGGTGGAGGGAGGGGGGAGGAAGGGAGAGAGGAAGGGAGGGAGGGAGGCGGAGGAGGAGGAGGAGGATGAGGAGGAGGAGGGAGAAGGAGGAGGTGGATAAGCAGGAGGAGGAGGAGGGCGGCGAGGAGGAGGAGGAGGAAGAGATACTCTGCAAGTAGTGGAGCGCCCTTGTCTAGAGGAGGCGATCGACAGGGCCAACAACACGCACTACGGCCTCGCGGCGGGCATTTGCACCCGCGACGTGGGCACGGCGCTGGCCGCCGCCAGGAAACTGGAGGCCGGAAGCTCCCTTGCTCCCACACCTCCTCGTCCTCCTCCTCCTCCTCCTCCTCTCCCTGCGTCTCCGCTCCCTCGTCCTCCCTTCTCCGTCTCCTCCTCCTCCTCCTCCTCCTCCTCCTCCTCCATCCTCCTCCCACCGTACCGTCATCCTCCTCTTCCTCTTCCTCCTATCCCTTCCTCCGAAGAGGAAGACGACCACGACGGCGACGTCGACGACGACGACGACGACCACGACGACGGCGACGACGGCGGTGGCGGCGGCGGCGGTGGCGACGGCGACGGTGACGACTCGGAGGCGGGGACGGTCTGGATCAATTGCTACGACGACTTCGACATGGCGGCCCCTTTTGGCGGCTTCAAGACCAGCGGCTGGGGCCGCGAGAAGGGCGAGTACGCGCTCGAGAACTACACGGAGGTGAAGTGCGTCATGATGCCCGTGGATTCCAGAAATTGAGATGCCAAGGCAGAGCGTCCCGCCGCCGGGGCCTGAGAGAGGCAGGACGTGGTGGATGATCAGAGGCGAAGATCTGGGCGAGTAGCCCAGGGGAGAGCAATACATGTATTCAGGTGCGCCGATGATCGATGTCTTTGAAAAGGATCCCGGGCGAATACTTGTACTGCCCGCCCCTGGGCTATTCGCCCCTATCGTCGCCGCCGAGATGAGGGGGAGGAGGAATGTGAGGAGCAGCGTCGCCCAGCAGAGGCGATGAACAATCCAGCGATTCCGTCGTGACTGTTCCACGGCTGTCTGGATAGGGCAGGTTGTGCTTGCACGACCTGTTCTCGCATCTCATCCCGGCTCGCCGTCTGGAGTGCACCGCCCGCGCGGCGGTTGGGCCGTGAAGTCCGGGTTTTTCCAGGAGGCGCTGGCTGCTGGCCGGGCCTCCCGACTACAGTTTTGCCTTGCGGTCCAGCTGCCGCACCGTCCTTGAGTTGGGCGAAGGCTTCAAGGGTCCAGGATTTCAAGTATGCGGTGCTCGCACGTGGCCGCACAACAGGAGGTGAGGCCGCATCCCCAGCCGCCTTCCTCCGTTCGTGCCCCTCTTTCCCACTGCCTTCGCTCCAGGATCGACGGCATGCGATCTTTGGGCCGTTCGTTCGAAACGTTGTGAGCCGCGGGAGAAAAACAATCAGGCGATCAGACGCGGGGGAGCCCAGGCGAACCGCGCCAAGCCGCGGGGGAGCCCACAGGAACTGTCTGAGAATCGTCGATCGCACCAAAACGCCATTCCTGGGACTCAATGCCAGGAATTGGCGTGAGTGTTGCGTCCTGACAACATTGAACCGAGCCAGAACACCGATCCTGGGACTTCAATCCCGCGATTCAGCGTGACTGTTGTATCCTGGCAGTCCCAGATTGCGCTGGAACGCCATTTCTTGTTTCTCAAATCTGCGTGCCCCTGTAACGAAGTGTTGCAGACGTTTACAGCGTTGGCGCGCGGCGCTAAGGCGAGAGCCGCAACGTGAGATCGAACCGCCCTCCGTCCTCGACGCCGCTCCACGCTGTTAGGGCGAGTGTGCGCAGCGCTCCGACGAGAGCCACATGCACCACGCGCCCTCCGTCCTGAGAACTGCTGCAAGCTTGTAGCACGAATGAGCGTTGCGCTGAGGCGATAGCCACATTTGGAACACGGCCCGCTGCCCATCCTTGACACTTTTGAGTATCGCAAGCTTCGGGACGAGAAGTGGTGAGGAGATCTCAGGCGAAATGCTTGACCCGCCCTGCCCACTAATTTGGGGTTGCGGCAGGGATCAGCTTTTTGACTGGAAAAAGGGATGAACGAGTGAGAAGGAAAAGTGACAAGTAGACGAAGGAGCAGGAGGAGGGGGACGAGAGTCGGGGGGGAACCTCAGGCGAAGGAAGAGCGAGGAGGAGAAGAGAGGAGGAGGAGGAAGAAGAGGAGGAGGAAGAGGAGGAGGAAGAGGAGGAGGAGGAGGAGGAGGACGAGGAGAGAAACCAGGAGGAGGAGTTGGAAGCGGATGACAAGGAACAGTGAGGATGAGTCGGGGGGGAATGCGAAAAAGGAATGAGGAGAGATGTGAGGAGGGAAGGGATCAGAAGACCAAGCTCGGAGCCCGCTTGCAGTAATGATGCTGCAGGCTCCTTCGGGTGGGCTTGAGGCTTGTTCGGGCTGTATCGGCTTCTCTTGCGGCTCTCAACATCCTGCCCGAACATGCCGTAATGTCTTGAATGATCTAGTGAGTTTTGCCCCATCCCGCCACCGTGCCAAGGTGGACCAGGGGCCCTCTGGAAGTTCCGTGGGGTCTCTGGAGGGGCCACTTCGGGCTCTCATGCGCCCGTCGGGCGCTTCGTGGGGGTCTTGTGAGCCCGCTTGGAGGTCTCTCGGGAGCCCTGTAGACGTCTCTTGGAGGCCTTGAGGGGGTATCGAGTTCATCTTGGAGGGCAGGCGTCCAGCGGTCCAGCGCCCGCGCGTTTTTTGCATTCTGGGGAGGGTACCCCTGCCCAGGGCTGGACCTAAACGGTGTTTTGGACGATTTCGTGGGCCGTTTTCGTTTCGACTTCGTTTTGCGGCAAAGGCGGGTTGAAGACAAAATGAGGGACCACGAAAACAAAACGAACACGACAAACACTGCTGTGCCAAGCCCCGAAAACGACAAAACGAAACGAACACGAAGGTTCAGCCAAGCCCCTGCCTGTGCCGTTTGTTCTGGCCGACGGATGGCCTCATGTTCTTGAAGGATGCTCTTCTGGCCTAGCTCCGATTGTGTCTGTCACAGCCCGCCAAAGCACCCCAGCCCAACCCGAAGGCCCCGATTTGCCTTCCGTTTCCAGAGGGTGAGGAGGGGTCGGGGAACATTGAAGAACACGTGTGGAATCCGTGCCCTCCCCCCCAGCCCGATGTTCGAGCCTTCGGTTTAGGTAAGTGTGGCCTGGTGATGGCCAGCCTGACATCCAAACCCTTCCACCCATCCCTTCCCACTGTGCCGATGTCCCCTCTACCCGCGGGAGAGAAACAGTCGGGAGGGAGAAAGCACACACAGACACAATTGATCGTCGACCCCCAGGAAAAGATTGGAAAACAGGGGAAGTGGGGGGGGGAAGACAGAAGCCTAGAAGATGTTGGAAAATTTGGGGAATCTTGGGATTCGTGTCTATTTGTTTGTGTGTCCCAGGGCCCCTTCAGTCAGGGATGGGGGCAGCCGAGGGCGGGCAGAGCGGGCGGGGAGCGGGGGGGGGGAACTGGCGGGGATCGTGGCGGAGGGGCGCCCTGCCGAGGAGGAGGGGGAGGGGGAGGGAATATGAGGAATATGAGGAATTGTTCTACTGGTGTATTGGTTGATTGGTGTATCAAGATGGAGGTACGTTTGGACCCCTCCCTGCAGCCGTCTTCTTTTGCCGAGGGGCTGCAGGGAGATCCTCGGCCCCCTCCAGTGGCTATTGACGCCGAAAAGTATTGGTGCATTGGTGCATTGGTGGGAGAGGGCGACCCAAGCGGCCCCTATGATGGCAGCCGCAAGGGGTGTGAGGCCTATGATGGTCCTCACTGGTGAGGCCTATGATGATGGTCCTCACCGGGGTGGGTGTGGGGGATCCCGCACACCCACGTCGACGAGGGCAGAATGTTGAAGCGGATGTCCGGCAGCAACGTCCTGGGGGGATACCTGAAAAAATGGGGACTTACAAACAACGTCTGTCTTCCGCCTACGTTCCAGAGGAGCCCCGTTCAAAGGTCGACGACGACGACGACGACGACGACGACGGCGACGACGACGACGGCGGCGACGACGACGACGACGACGAGGGCCAAGGACGAAGACGAGGACGACGACCGGCGAAGGAGGAAGGAGGAAAGCAGAGGCAGAGAGAGAGAGAAGGAGAGAGAAGAGAGAGAGGGAGAAGGAGGGGAGAGCGGGGAGGAGGAAGAGAGAGGGGGAACGGGAAACCTGAAAGAGGAAAGCGGGCCTGACCGGGGGACCTGAAGCCGAAGCAAAGCGACAGGGGGTGACGATCCAAGGCGGCCCCTGGACGGCTCTCGGCGTGGGCCGATGCTCCGGACATGTAGATTGGGCGGGGGCGGCGGCGGCGGCGGCGACGACGACGACGGCGACGGTGATGGCGACGACGACGACGACGACGACGACGACGGCGACGACGACAACGACGACGACAACGACGACGACCGACGACGACGACGACGACGGCGACGGCGACGGCGACGGCGACTTTTATATACCCATCCTTCGAGAAAGGGGGGGGGAGAGGGGAGTGGGCCCAGCCACGCACCTGCGCCCCAAGTGGCAGACGGAGGTGGCCGGGAGGGTTTTACATACCCGTCCTTGGAGAGCTCGATTAAAGGGCAGGGAGCGGGAACGACCTCATGAGTGACGCCGCGGCGGCACATGTGACACCGCGGCGGCACGGGTCGAACCGTCACCCTTGGTGTACTGGTGTATTGGTTTGGCAACTGACGCCAAAGAGTATTAGATTACTGACATTGACAAGCACCGTCAGCCGGCAGGGGAAAAATCCCGTTCACGGCCCCATGGAGGAATATGAAGAATTGGTTTATTGGTGTATTGGTTGGTTGGTGTATCAAGATGGAGGTACGTTTGGACCCCTCCCTGCAGCCGTCTTCTTTTGCCGAGGGGCTGCAGGGAGATCCTCGGCCCCCTCCAGTGGCTATTGACGCCGAAAAGTATTGGTGCATTGGTGCATTGGTGGGAGAGGGCGACCCAAGCGGCCCCTATGATGGCAGCCGCAAGGGGTGTGAGGCCTATGATGGTCCTCACTGGTGAGGCCTATGATGGTCCTCACCGGGGTGGGGGTGGGGGAAGAGGGCAGAAAGTCGAAGCGGATGTCCGGCAGCAACGTCCTGGGGGGATACCTGAAAAAAGTAACTTAAAAACAACGTCTGTCCTCCGCCTATGTTCCAGGGGGGGGGAGGGGGAGGGGAGGGGGAGGGGAGGGGGAGGGGGAGGGGGAGGGGTAGGGGGAGGGGAGGGGGAGGGGGAGGAGGAGGGAGGAGGAGGAGGAGGAGGAGGAGAGGAGAGGAGAGGAGGAGGAGGAGGAGAGGAGTGAGGAGGAAGAGGAAAGCCCCCCCAAACGACCGCGCGGCCCCTCTTGTCTTATTCTCAAATAAACGGGGGGCTGGGCTGGGGGGGGCCGGGTGGGGTGGGGGGGCGGAGCAGGAGGGGGGAATGGGGGGGGTGGGGGGAGGGGAAGAAAATTCTACTAAATAGCCGCACCCCCCCCCCCCGCCCCCGCGGCGGCACCCGCCGCCGCCGCCATGGGCCTCCTGGCGCTCGGGCTCGGCGCGCCCGCGAGGCCCTCTTTCCGCCCGCCGCCTCGGGCCCGCCCGGCCTCCGCCCCTCCCACATTCGAAGAAGAAAAAATTACATGAAACATGAATTGTTGGCGCTCCGCGAGGAGTTCTTGCATCCGCGCCTGGGCCCCCTGGCGGAGCTTCCTGCGCCGCCCCTTGCGCGTTCCGAGCGCCAGGGAGGGGGGTCCAGCGCGGGTCCAAGGAATCCGCGCGGAGCGCCTAAAATCCGTAAGGGCTTCGCCCCCTGCCGCCGGCCCCCTCTCTCGGAGAATGGGCCATGGAAGAGCTAAATCATGAGGCCTTGGCGCTGTCGTGAAGCAGTATCGAAACTTCATGCGAAGCCGATTCGCAATCAGCAAAACCAACTGATCACAAGAGGGGTTACCACACCTGGCGATTGGTAAGACGTGTATGGTTTACGGGCTTGTTTACCACACCTTGCGATTAAAGGGCCGAGGGAGTTCTCGCAGTTTGGGTTACCACGCCTTGCGATGGATGTGCGTGAAGGGTGGCACCGAATTTCAGAAATGTGGCAAATCCCATCTGTTTTTGGACCCTGACCCCGCGGATCTGCGTAAGGGGTGGCGCCGAATTTCAGAAATGTGGCAAATCCGATGTGTTTTTGGACCCTGACCCCGCGGATCTGCGTGAGGGGTGGCACCGAATTTCAGAAATGTGGCAAATCCCTTCTGTTTTTGGACCCTGACCCCGCGGATCTGCGTGAGGGGTGGCACCGAATTTCAAACATGTGGCAAATCCCTTGTGTTTTTGGACCCTGACCCCGCGGATCTGCGTGAGGGGTGGCACCGAATTTCAGAAATGTGGCAAATCCCATGTGTTTTTGGCCCCTGACCCCGCGGATCTGCGTGAGGGGTGGCACCGAATTTCAAAAATGTGGCAAATCCCTTGTGTGTTTGGACCCTGACCCCGCGGAT